GAAGACTGCAGTAATGATGCTGAAAATTCAGCTTTGCATCAAAGGAATGCAGTAAAAACAGTAATATTGGGAAATGTTATTACAATGTAAAATAACTATTTTCTATTAGAATATTGAAATATACAAATGTAATGCATTCCTTTGATGCAAAGCTGAATTTTCAGCATCATTACTGCAGTCTTCAGTGTCACATGATCCTTCAGAAATCATCACTGTTGAAAACAGTTGTGCCGAATTATAGTTTTGTGGAAGCATTTTTAAGAATTCTTTGATGAATAGAATGTTTAAAAGAACAGCATTTATTCTGAATAGAAATCTTTTGTAATATTAAATCTTTTGTCACTTCTGAACAATTGAATAAGCTGTGATATAAACGAACGCTATTGGCTATTTTAAAAAGGGGCGGGGCTGCTTGATATGTCCCGCCCTGTCTTCCTGTTTCAGTTCAAATGACGTCAACACATAGAGTAACGCTGCGTGTTTCTAAGCATTTCAGGGGACCTTTAAATTTGGGTATGGGGTAGGATTAAGGAATCTAAAATATGGTCATACAGTATAAGGCATTAATATGTGCTTTATAAGTACTAATAAACAGCCGATATGCTAGTAATATGCATGCTAATAAGCAACCAGTCAATAGTGAGAATAGTGATCCCTAAAATAAAGTGTTACCTAAAGGTTTTTCTCTCTCGTTACAGCAACTTGTGTTCAACTCAGTTACAAATTGTCTGGGCCCTCGGAAGTTCCTGCACAGTGGAAAACTCTACAAAGCCAAAAGCAACAAGGAGCTTTACGGCTTCCTGTTTAACGATTTCCTGCTCCTCACGCAGATCATCAAACCTCTGGGCTCGTCTGGAACGGACAAAGTCTTCAGTGCGAAATCCCACCTGCAGTATCGCATGTACAAAACGGTGAGACATTCTCAGAAATCTTATTTATTTGCAATCAGTTTTTGACCTTTAATATAATACTTATTCCTTGACCTTTAACCTGACTTGTTGACCTCTGTAGCCCATCTTTCTCAACGAGGTGCTGGTGAAGCTGCCCACTGATCCTTCTGGAGATGAACCCATATTCCACATATCTCACATCGACAGAGTCTACACTATTCGGGCTGAGAGCATCAACGAGCGGTATTCACTAATTACTTGTGTATTATTTAGATCTATACCTATTAACCTACAATACACATGCTCAGATATAATTCTCTTGACGATTGTCGTAGTAATCTTGACAATGTTCTTCTGTTCCACCCTGTAATCCTGCAGGACAGCTTGGGTGCAGAAGATCAAAGCCGCTTCTGAGCTCTTCATTGAAACGGAGAAGAAGAAGAGAGAGAAAGCCTACTTAGGTTTGTCTCACGTCTTTCCTTACAAACCCCTCGCTGATTTAATAAAGCTATGAATGCTCTGAGTGTTTTCTAAGCACTGGTTTTGTGTTTCTGTTATGTTTGCAGTGAGGTCTCAGAGGGCCACTGGTATCGGGCGGCTAATGGTGAACATTGTTGAAGGCATTGAGATAAAGCCCTGCCGTTCAAATGGTAAAGAATGAATACTGCTTAATAAAATTTAAGGTGGTTTACGAGGTTATAAGCATTTTAGTACTATTGATCATATCATAAACGTCCATTGTGTGTCTGTTTATGTGTGCAGGGAAGAGTAATCCGTACTGTGAGGTGACGATGGGCTCTCAGTGTCACGTCACTAAGACGCTGCAGGACACTCTGAACCCTAAATGGAACTCAAACTGCCAGTTCTTCATCAAAGACCTGGAGCAGGATGTGCTGTGTGTCACTGTGTTTGAGAGGGATCAGTTCTCCCCGGACGGTCAGTATACTCATTCACTTACTCTCTTACTCGTGTACTGTATGTATGCTCTAAAAAGAACAGCATTTATTCAAAATAGAAATCTTTTCTAACAATATAAGTCTTTACTATCACTTTTATCAATTTGACACACCCTTGCTGTACAAAAATATTAATTTCTTCCCAAAAATGTTTTAAAATTATGGTAAAAAGACGGTAGTGTATATTGTTGCAAAAGATTTCTATTGCATTACGGGAATAAATTGTATTTTAAAGTATATTCAAATAGAAAATCTTCTTTAAGAATATTAAAAATCTTACTGCAGTATACAGTGGGTACGGAAAGTATTCAGACCCCCTTAAATTTTTCACTCTTTGTTATATTGCAGTCATTTGCTAAAATCATTTAAGTTAATTTTTTTTCCTCATTAATGTACACACAGCA